TAAACTCTGCCTTTCAGGGCGAGAGTAATGTCGCGTCTGCGCCACAGGTGGCGGAGATTGGCAAAAGCACCTCGAGCTTTTGCTATGCGGTTCGTAACCTCATCTTCAATCCCACGGGTGCTAATATAGCTGCACAGGTACTTGAATTCCTGAACGACTTCTAGCAGATCACCACCAAGCGTTAGCGCAGGGTTGGGTCCCTGCCAATCTTGGAGAAGTACTTTGCATTTCGATGGAGCAAAGCATAGCCCAAAACGATTGACAGTCAGTGCCAATCGGTCCAGTGCTCTTTGGCATGTTTGGAGGCTGTCACAGATTAGGGCAATATCGTCCGCATACTCCAAGTCAAGAAGTCGCTCACCAGGAAGTAGCTCCACACCATCTAGGTCGTGTCCAGCGAACGCTGTTTCTATGACTTCATCAATAGCGAACTTGAAAAGGAAAGGTGACAGCGGGCATCCTTGTCTCACGCCGCTAGTGATACTGAAGGGTGGCGAGAGTTTGCCATAAACCCTCACCTTGCCCGAACTATGCGCGTACAGCGCTTTGATAATGTGTACATATTTATCAGGCACACCTTTCCTCAGCAGACAGTCCCAAAGGGCACATCGATCGACCGGGTCGAAGGCACCTTTTATGTCAAGAAACACGACAACGGTGGGTCGCCAATAAACATGGCGGTGCTCCAACACTTGACGCAATGTGAAGATGTGGTCGATGCAGCCCCGACCTCGACGAAATCCGGCTTGCTCTTCACGAATCTGGCTTTCACGAGTGCCAGTCAGTCTGTGGAGAATGACAGAGGCAAGCAATTTAGAGGCAATCGAGATCAGACTGATCCCTCTATGATTGCCGCATTCCAAACGAGAGCCTCCCTTGAAAATTGGGACAATGACGGAGCGGTTCCAGTCTGTCGGGACTGTCTCCAGCTCCCAAATTTTTACTAGCAACTCGTGTAGATCATCCACTAGAGCAGGTCCCCCGAATTTGAAGAGGGCTGGGGGAATTCTATCTGCCCCTGCGGCCTTATGCAATTTCAACAGCCGGATCTCACGTTCGACCTCTGCGCGTGAGGGCGGATCTGAGGAGACAGCCCAAGGAGAAGGGCGCTCAATGCCCGAAGAAGAAAGCGATAACTCAGGCTGGTTAAATTGCCTTGCAAAGTGTTCGGCCCAACGCTCCAAGCGTTTTGACAAGCTGTGGATCGGCTGCCCACTCTCGTCGCGTATGATCTCGCTAACACCAGGTCTCCTGCTGCCTGTTTCTCGTATCAGACGGAATAACTTACGATGATTACCCACGGCAGCGGCTGTTTCCATCTCAGAGGCACGATGAGACCACCAGGTTTCGCGGTCCTTCCTAAGGCTAGCACGTAGTTTTGCCCTGAGATTTTTGCGAGCCTCATTGTATTCGCTTCCAGCCGGAATACGTAGGCGAGCATCCATAAGTTCCATAGACTGTGTAGAGACCCAATGTCCGGTTTGGCAATTTGCTTTGCCACATGAAGACATGCCTGCTGACAGCAACGTTTGACGAATATGCGACCAGTGATCTTCAACGGTGTTTAGTGGGCGCTTACTCAGCCCAGATGTCAGCGCACTTTGGTACACATTCAGAACATCTGGCTTCGCCAGCTGGCTGGTGTCAATCCGTTCACCTCGACGTTGCGGACGTCCACCGAAACGCACCCGGAGGTCGGCACAGACAAGTGCGTGGTCAGAGTCCACGCTCGTGCTCCAAATCGAGCGACAGTTTTGGACACAGCCTCTCCAGCGGTAACTGATCGCGATATGATCGATTTGTGTCCATGGTTGGCCCGAGGCTGGTGGTCGCCAAGTCACGCTTCTGCGGGTGCTGTGTCGCAAGTTAGTGCTCGCGAGAAAGAGGCGAGCATCTTCACACAGCTGTAGCAATCGCTCACCATTATCATTACGGCAGCCCACACCATGCTGGCCACCCAGATGAAGCTCATCAGAGGACAATTTTCCGACTTGGGCGTTTAGATCGCCAGCCAACACCACAGTATCCGTGCTTCTTCTGTAACAAACGAGCTCATGAAGTTGCTGATAGAAATCATGTTTTACCGAATCAGTGCTACAGTTTGTAGGGGGCGTAAGCCGCAATGACAAACAGGCACTGTTTTCCCCGCGCGACTTCGAAGCACGGAACGAACCAGCTAATCTAACGGCGCACATCCTACTGTTTACTGGGATTCAATCAATCAGGGCAGCTTCAGCCCGGGGACTCAAAACAATGCCGACGCCAGCTTGACCGGCATTTGAAGCTGCATCATCGCCAGACAGGCGCAATGAGAATGTGCCGCCAGTGTCGCATGTGGGGGATCTCAGGGTAAGTACGGAGCTCGAATCTTGCAGGCGGGTTTCTGATAAACAGCAAATATCGATCGATAGGGTCTCTAGTGTGCGGGCAAGTGCTGCCTGGTTGGCCAATCTGCAGCAAAGTGCGCACGTTGAAGCATGCCAATCTTAGCGAGACGCGAGGACTCCAAAGGGAAACGGATGAACTGACGTTGTCCGCTTGTTTGAACATGAACTTGTCAACTGGATTGGAGCGAGGCCCTGGGATTGTGTGTGATTTGAAATTAGAAGACAAGCGACTACTGAAGAGAGCTGGGGGAGGGCCAAGAATTGGGGGATTGAAAATGGGGGGATATAAGTAAAGTTGGAGCGGGACGATAAGGATGAAGAAGCGCAAGAAGGGGTATAAGAAGACGGGAAGGCCTGAGCAGTAGCATCCATACCCCTATCCACCCTGCTCGATGCAGCAGATAGGGCGCCGTTGATTATCCTCTGCGACGGCCAGAGCATCAAGAAATTGTTGTAGGAAAGTTTCATTGTATTGCGTGGGCAGAATACTGTCAGGTTGCCCAGGCCTAGACAGGAGAACGATTAGGGTTCTCAACCAAAGCCTTTGGTTCAAAAACCTTACCGCAAGGCAGCGGGTTTTGGCACTGGACTACAGGACCCCGTTTTATGAAATGAGGAGCCACCCGTATTTCAACCCCAACCTGGAGGACCAGGAGGCTGAGTTTGTCTGGCCTCTAACCATTGACTAATCTGGTATGAGTGGCTCTGAAGGCGCAAAAGCACCACCCAGCATAGCTCAATGGATCTCTGAGGCACGCAAACCATCGCACTACGGTAAGGTCCAGCCTCATTGCGATGGCTGATGCTTCGCTTCCCTGCGATCATCATCTGTCGCGCTTGGGTTGGGTTTACCACGAGGTCGACTACATTTACGCGGATTTGCACCGATGACCTCTGGAATTACAACTCAAGCACTTACTCCCTTTGTCCACCGGCTAACACAAAATAGCTCCATTCTCTATCTCGCCGTGTTCGTGCTACTTCTCTTGAGCTAATTTTCCAAATCGTCAATTTTTGATCGAGTGTGAAGTTTCTGGTGTGAACATGCAGGTAGCAATTAATTTTTGTATGTTTACGATAGACCCGTTTTAGCCAGCCTAGGAACATTTCAGCTCTTTCTCGTATCGATTTTCGACCCAGATGTGTTGCCGGATCACTAAAAAGCCGACTTACCGGACTTGCGAGGATCATTCTACGTGCTATGAGTTAATGCACTTACGATATCGTTGTGGTATCGCCATGGCTCTCCTCTTTACCTGGTGCTCTATACAACCCGACTGAGGGAGACGCCAGACCTGTCTGTGTTCATGACGGAGAACGATTATATTTATAGGTCACACTTCCTCGCCTCTGTCTCCCAATCCGACTGTGCATTGCTTTAACGATTAACGATCCCCTGTCTGCTCGCGTCCGCACGTACTCGCACCTACATTATTTGGCTACCTGCAAACCCGACAAATCGCAGTCCCACTGACGTCTGCCACACAGCAACCCGTGCCGTCGATAACGGGCTGATTTCGTCAACTGCACGTGTGGCCTGCCGCAGGCCCGCTTCGCTTCCCGAAACCGTGTCTCTGCATTCATCTCTTACGCCCACCCACTTTAGAGCAGCCTGTGCGGATTCCTTTATTATACTATGTAATGACAAGGATCATCTAGTGTCCACGAAATGGATGCATCACCAATAGTCAACAATTTTCGTGCAGAATGCGCATTTGTTTGTCAAACCCGAGAAGAAACGTGAGCAGAACTCTTAGGACATCTGACATCTGTACAAGAAGATTGACGCAATCCTGCAGGAATACCTTCAAGGTAGCTGAGTTCAATGTGATTTATACGAGCAAATCGTCCCTAGATTCAAACACGAAGGGCGTGATCGCCTCCAATCCAATGTAATATACCGGTTCACCTGCTCCTGTGGAGCTAGGTATATTGGACGCACGACCAGGCAATTAGAAAATCGAATCAAGGAGCACCTACAGAATTCGCTCACCAACCGCGGAGACAGATCTAATCTAAGTGCAATCACTAACCATCTGATTGCCACTGGGCACAACACCGACAAAAGTAGTGCCTTCGAAATTCTGTATAAAATACCGTCACACTTGATCCATTACTTAGCAGCACGACAGCTTGCTAATGCTGAGGCAATAAGCATACGACTGATGAAACCTAATCTCTACATCCCAAAGAAGATCAGCCAAGCATTACAACTTTCATGGCCACCAACCACACGAGAGGAATTTGCTGCCGCCCATCAACCCCACGTGCTTCCAACCACCTGATCATCTGACGCTTATCACGAGAACTGTTTAAGTTTACTTTTATCTAATCAATGGTGTGTCACTATACTGTCCCACAAACCTGCTTGTTCGTAAGCGAATTTCTGTACTAAGCCTGATGAGGAAGAAATCGAAAACAATTGTTCGCCCTAAGCGTTCTGCTTATGTTTCTTCTCGGGTTTATCAACCATTTTCATTTGATAAATCTCGCACTGGTTACTTCACAAGGAATATCTCTTCTTACTCAACAGTTTGCTTGTATATTGACTATTCTTCTCTCAGCTCTCATCACTTGAGCTTTCAAAAATTTGTCTGCTTTTTTGTTCTCCAGGTTAGCGTGAACTTGACCCAAGTGCAAGCTTACGCCAGTGCGACATATCTTTGTGCAGCCTTTGGTTTGTTTCTGACCCACTTCTTCAGTCCACATTACTCGACTTGTTCCCTTCTCACAGACAAGGTAAGCCGCTTTCACAAATGCCCTATCTTTTGCTTTAACTATTGGAGTTCCTTTCACTTAGGTGAATCTTCAGCAGCAGCAGTACATCATTAGCTTGTACTGATGCCTCGTGGCCATACCGTAGTGTCTAAACCTCTTCTGCGTCCACTCGAATCTTATAGTGGCACCCTCCCACTTCTACTACCGGCTGTCCAGTCGCAGTCACACAATCTTCTTCCTTGGATCGGCGTCGTTTTAGCCGACCAGATCTACCTAACTTATCATCTTTTTTGAATTGTTGCTTTTTCCGGTATACTCGGTCGGCACCTTTTTTGTATGGATTTTAAAGAGAAAGCATAAGGGAATTGTGTTCTCTCGTAATTCATCGTCAACGATTCTTTGGTCTTTCTGCTTCACCTGCTTAGTAGAACAACCCCGTCTAACGCCTACAAGGGAATATCATCGGATGGTTCGGGAAGAGGCGTTTTTAGCTGATTTCCTCTGTTTACCTTAGTAGCTTCGTATAGTCTCCGTTGACAATACTCATGGCTGATTCTGCTATTCGGATGACGGACCAGTTACTTTCCAAATCAGAAGACGAAGGTTTCAACATAAAGCACTTGGGCCCCGGGAAGTACGGCGTTCTTGGTTGTTCTATCAAGAAATGAATAGGTAAGGAAATATGTTTATCGGTACGTAGCAAGCGTAAAATTGGTGTGTTCCACACATTAACTTGAAGAAACAAAGTGTACAGCACACAGACCTCGGGATGCATTGTGGAGACCATAACATCACTTCCCACAGTCGAGGTACTGCGCCACAAGTTCTGATATCGATCAAGAGTCCTTGATTGCCGAGTGGACTGGTGAAGCGGCGGTCCGAATCGGTCTTCACACTTTGTGGTTGCTCTATGAACCGTGTGTACCCGATGTGCGTTGACGATTACACCGTTTAACAATCGATAGGTTCCAGGGCTTAGAGTCTGCGTGATTCTTAGTTGTACATATAGCGCTAGGAAGCCTTTTGGCGCGGCTCGTTATTATCCCGAATGTATGTTCCAGGCTTCATCGAAATCGATGATCTGGTGTAAATCTTTTGGAAAATGTTATGCTTTGTGTGATATCAAGATCTATTGCAGATGACATCATGTGTAGCATATATTTTGGTGCGCAAGGGTCTTCCTAGACTAATCTTTACAGACGTTCTTCCGGTAGCTCTGTTGTCACAGGTTCCGTACGAAAATAGCAGTTAGAACATCATATTCCCAATTCAACCCTCCTAATTGGATGGCCTGTATGGCTCCCTTTAGGGGTCGGTTAGCCGCTCTACCGTGCCAATTGTCGCAGGACTCTAAGTTACAGTTCCGAATTTTAGTATGTTATGGCACTGGAGAAAAGCTGCTAAGCCGTGGCTACAAAAGTTTTGGTCTCTTGTCTATGGTTATTTCTTGCGGTCGTCCGGAAAGACGCAAGAAGGGTTTGGACCAATGCAACATCACCAGCGTAGTTACTTAGCCGAACGTATGAACTTCGGGCTGCTAACTGTAAACATCTGAGCACCACGTTTATTTCTCCTATTCGTATGTGCAGTGGCGAAAGAGCTGACAACGTCATTGTCGTCAAACGGAGGCAGGCGTTCGGGTTTTGTCTGTTACCGCAGTTAATTCAAAGTGGAGGTGGGGTGATTGCTCAGATTAAATGTTCCGGTGCTCATTTGCTTTGCATTTCGCTCACCGCTTACAGCCTTTTTCGTTATCAGCTCCATTCACATATTTATCATCTATTGTGCACCTGAGCCATTTCTCGTGTAACAGACTTGGTTTTTATGTACTTTTTTCCATATGTTACTGTTTTTTTTCAGAATCCGTGTCCGGAGTTGTGGGCCTCAGTGCCAGCACTGTGGACCTACACATGGGTTTTCAGGTAAGGTACTCACTGCCTTCTACCGCCTTCATATTTGCTGATAGTATACCGGTTTTTGTCGCGTTTTTCAGCGGAGGTGGTTCGTCTTACACTTTACTTCTTAATGGTGGCCATCAGGAATGCTGATTGTTGCAACCCGATACTAATAGAATGGGTACGTTTCGTGAATCCATGTATTTGACCAAGTTGTGCGACGGGCCTGAACTTGGACAACCGTACTGCGTCAGTTCATGATGCCAAATGCGAGCGCTGCGCTGGCTATGACGGAGTGTTCAATACAGTGATCGATAACCGTTGATCGATGTTCATTGTGGTTTTGTTATTTAGGATTGGTCTAACACTAACACCTTCCCCGTAAAGAAAAGTTTTAGTTGCATGACATTCCCGAAGTTCTTCTGACACTTGGATTGTTGCGGCTGCAAGGGAAGTGGGACTGTTGCTGTCCCTTGTTCGGAAATGTTGTTCGGCACATTTGCTGTAAGCCATTGTTGATTGCTACTTCAGCTGAAGGCTCTTCGGTATTCTGGCACTTGCCGACTAGAGAGGCAAATGTCGAGTGAATGTCCCGATCATTCGTACTTGCCTGAGGACTACCGGGCTGAAAATATAATTGTCGAGTGACGGTCTTCATCATGATTAGGTGCCTAATCACCACTTGATTGGACAGATAAGTGTCGGGTGAAATCCAGATCATGTGTAACCGAGCTGCTCCAGATTGCTCATGTTCTTGTGAAAAAATCACATTCCAAGTGACTGTAAACTCCGTCTTGATTCATCCCACCTCCGTCGCCTAATTGTGGCAACCCGGTACTACTATAATGGGTACATTTGGAGAATCCATGTATCTGACCAAGTTGAGCGATGGGCCTGAAGTTGGACAATCGTACTGCGTTAGCCCATGATACCAAATGCGAACGCTGCTCTGGCTATGACGGAGTGTTCAATACAGTGATCGATAGCGGTTGATCAATGATCATTGTGGCTGTGTTAGGATTGGTCTAGCCTTAACGCTGATAATCGTGACTCTAATTCATTTAAGTTGCTGCGCTTAGTCATTGGCAGCAATACTTTGCATATTGTCAGTGATCTTGAATGCGTTTGTGTGCGAATAGAGCCTCCTGTTGGTTTTGATGTGATAACATGATTTTTTCTTGTTGGATTTCTTCGTGCATTGGAGTTATTTCGTGTAACTTGTAATATCATGCTGTTTCATCTCTGATTAAGAATGTTTCAACCATAAATAATGTTGTCTTTCTTTAGTTTCAAGCACTTTTTCGCTTTGTTATTCACGTTTAATTGTCATTTTTATGTCGGATTAATTATAATGTCGAAGCAATTCGCTTACGATGCGTGTTCCAAGAATGTCGCACATCAAACAAACGCATTCATGTACGTTTTACGCGTTAATTTCGCATTTCATTCATAGGTGAACAATTAAGCATTTTTGACGTCTCCATGTAGTCCAGTGCGATTTCGTGCAGGTAATTTTTAATAGTCACTGAAATGAGGTGCCACCGAGCAAAGTTGAGTAAGTACATTCACAAGCGGACGTATAGACTGAATCATTACGTTGCTAGCAGCCCCTTGTGTTTTACTTATCTAGCTAGCTCGAAGCGCCGGCCAATGGCCGAAAGGGTCACACGTCTGGCTTGTAATCCGTTGGTCACCGGTTCGAGTCTGGATAGGGGACAGGGTGGCCATCGCGCGATCGTTAGTGTTCGCGTCGCAGGGAAGCGTCGGTACGGCATACTGTTGATACCCATTTTTCCTGCTCGTCCCCTGCCAAATGACCGGCACGAAGTCTTTGCGAGCAACCTTGTTTCAGATGGCACGAATTCTTTACACAGGTTGTGTTCTAAACTAAAAACTAAAGCATCAGCAGTGTCTTGCTTTGTTGGTGCCTGAGTAGTGAGGAACCGCGGTGAGCACAATGATAGTAAAGGTGGAAAAATTCATGGCTCTGTCACTGTAAATCAACGAGTTGCCAAACCATGTGGGTCTCGGGATAATCTTCACCCTACAATACCTACCTTTGCCGACCAGAAGCCTTTTAACCTCCGCAATCTTCTACTCATCTGAATCCAATGATCCAACTCCTCCGATGCGCTGAGATCACGTAAGGTCTTTACAGTGTCTGATTGATTCCTCGACCTAAGTGAGGATGGATTGAAAGTGAGGCACACCACACGTCTTGCGAAGAAACATAACAAACAGATTTGGTCCATGAGAATTACCTTTGTCCACAAAGGGTTATCTTGTTCCGCCTTAACAAGCTGAAAATTTGGGTAATCCGTGTTTGTCCCATATGTGGGTCCAGTGGATTAGGAACGGCTCAAGCATGCCATCATTGATCTGAAACGACGTACTGGTGATGATGAGACGAATCACCTTACCATTAGTTTGCGGATAGCTTCGAAGATTCCACAGATCTCGCAATTTTAGACACGCCCGCTAGTTCCTGCTGTGACGTGCGTGTAGCATTTTACCAACCTCTGCCGTCATGTTAAGAACCGCGATGAATTTAGCCCTTCTGTTGCATCTAAATGGCCAAAAGTAGTTGGGCTCAGAGATATGGCCGAGTTCTAATGTAACCTGCACGAAATAGAGCCCAGTGTCTACTCATGCTTCCGCTGCAATAGACTAGACTGTCCGCGGTGGCGTCTTGCTCCACCTCCGGTCTCCTTTGTGTTTAAGCGTATACTGAGGCGAAGATAACTTGCCTGAGTTGTTATGGTACTCGATCCACCTCAGGCGCGGTGAGCTACTCGTGGATGCAATTTATCGCAGCCCCCGAGCTGTTGTTTGGATTGGCTGCCGCATCTCCATTTTCTGCTCGTGGGCAATCCTTCTCAGTTACGTTGGCCTGAAGGGCAACTCATGCTCTAACGTTGTGAGGTCGCAGCCAAGTCCATGAATTTCGTACTTGAAACTGGCATAGCGCATTACCTTTGCTAGCCGACACGTATAACGCCGCTATCAACCCTGTTGTCTCGCTTGGACGTGATGTTAACCATCTATGAACAACAAGTGCATGATATTCTGATCCGGAAGCCCAAAGCAACAATCAACTATTCACTTATCATAACGAACATGGAACTGATTTTCCGTATTCCCGAAAAACTGACTTCCATGATCTACCGGGATTGGTTCTCTGCTGCAAACTTATCCTTGATCAAACTACTTCGTTGAACTGTGCATGGCACTTTCGAGAAATATACTGCTAATTTTTAAAAATAAACTACGGCGTCACATCCTTGTTTTCTCGGCTTGTACCACAGTAATGTCGGATAGTTGAAACAAACAAGTCATGTTTGTTTGACAAGAAGTATGGTAAAATGGTGCTAGCTATATGTACACATCTACCGCATTTGAATGGAACTCAGTCTTAGATTCCGTGCATATCTATGTAGGTTTACTAGTCAAGTTAAGGTGAGAGTGTGGATACGCTTGCATTTCGTTGACTTGTATATACATTTATTCTTCCTTCCTATAAAACTTAATTCCTGGAAGATATATGCTCCGTTTACGACTCGTCTCTTGGATGGAAGCAGCCTAGTGGCCCGACATAACAAATGACTCGACAGCGACGCAGAATGTGGGATAAATTCCTCCTCTCCAGCTATTTTCACGGTTATTAAACGTATAAGAAGCAGCGAATTGTTTGCAACAGTGCTAAAATGAGCAAGCGCCGGAATTTTGTTAAGACAGTATTCTCTACTGCACCTCGGTACATAGCTGATTAGCGAAATTGCAGTCAACCGAGATCACGACACCGTGCATTTCTGTATCACTTTTGCTCTTGCTTGTTGTATTCTATTCAACGAGCATTCATTTATCTAGAGCCTTAGTAGCTGTCGACCATATTACTGTCTTTTAATGTTCACTGTGCGATTACGATGCAAATTGTCGGTGTTGCGCTGAACTAACTCGATGAATTTAGGATGAATTACCCTTTATCGTCTGTCTCAAACTATAACGGTAGTGACAGCATGCTTATCTGATAGTTCCACTAAAACGGTAAGTCTAGTACCCATAGAGTAGTGCTCTGGGCCGTTTGCGCCAGCGATTTCCAGAGAATATCCTTTTTTTCTCAGCGGTGCTCTTCCTACATCGCTGGTTCCCGTTTGCTTGTCTCATTAGTAATGATGACGTTCGTCGTCGGATTTTCACGTCTTACAGACTGCCAACCACTGGACTTCATAATTTTCTTGCTTGAGCTCCAGTGTCTCAGTCACGTATTTAATATGCCTGTTCGGCGGTTTCAACATCGGGCCACCTTTGCGCGCACCGTTGATGATCGAAAGCGATGAAAAATGGCCAACACAACTTCGGTCCGGAGTGTCAAGGCGCTGACATTGAAGATTGCCCCAGTGTTGCGTTTCTGACTCCCTGATTTCAGACCCAAGGACAGCGAACACACGTAGTTGCAAACACTATCGGATATGACCCAGAATCTTACTCATTGGAGAATGTGTTACGAGACTCTCCTTCACCGACTGATTTTTCTCCTGTTTTTGTTGTTTTTGCCCATATGCTGTGGCATCCTACCAGTTGTGTACCAACTGATTGCTTTATATATATATATACATATATATATATATATATATATATATATATTGCAAATATATTATTGCAAATAACGTCCTCCAACACAGGTCACCATGTGAGAGATTGTCCGCCCTCACAATCGTATGCTTCTGCACAAAACGCTCGACATCGAGTGCTGGAATGTGCGCACTTTACTCGACCGAAAAACGAGCGACGCACTGCACTGGTCGCGATGGAACTGACGCGCTATAACATCTATATTGCGGCGCTCAGTGAGACCAGGCTCGTTGAGCAAAGTAAGTTGCATGAAGCTGGGTCTGGCTATACGTTCTGCTGGGTGGGAAATTCCACCTCAAAACCACGTGAACATGGGGTCAGATTTGCACTATCCGATCGCCTAAAGGGTCAGCTGGCGGGCGAGCCCACTGGCATCAGCGCGCGACCGATGACTG